TCTAAAAAATCAAAATGATGATCGTGGTAATTTTTTTTTTTTTTTTTCCCTTTCTTTTCGTGATTGAGTGATGATTTTTGTAGTAGCTCCATTTGCCTTTCAATAGGTATATGGTAAATTACAAGGAAGGTTGGTGGAATTGAAGCTTCAAATAAAGTAAAAAGGAGCGGGGTTTCAAATTGCGTGGACCTCATGAATATCTATTGAAGGCCGAGTAAAGCTACTACTAGGTTAAGCACACAGTAATTTTGTGTAAATTTTAGGATAAACTTCATATGTTTCCATTAAATCTTGAGCCTGTTAACAACTTCCCTCGAAATTTTAAAACGTAACATTTATTTTCTTCTAACTTTGAAATTGTGATAAGTTTGGTTCTTCTATTAGTTTTATTAACAAACTTTCAAATGTCACACAAATCTCAAAACTCAGTATTTTTTTTAAGAAAACAAAACACTTTATATTTATAAGAAATACCTTAAAAATAAAAATAATGATCTTGCACAAATTAAAAGAAGGCCGACCATATGCAACCTCCCCTCCCCTAGGTGATGGCATCCCCAACGGTTGTCCAGAGCAAGCCCTATCCACAGCACTATTTGCCTCAATGGTTGCGCACCATTCTTTCATCTTCAACTCAGATCTTGATCATAACCCCCTTCACCTCATATGTGAGTCGCCACTCTCCCTAGAGTGTAACGACCCACACTTTTACTTAGTATGATATTATCCGCTTTTGGTCTGAGTTTGTGGGGCTTTATTTTTAGGCTTCACCCTAAAAAGACTCATACCATTGGCATGTGGTGTCACTCCTTATAAATTATCACTTATAACCTTCCTCAAGGCGATATGAGACTGCACAACTTACCTTATCTTGATCTTTTTGCCTCAATGATTGATGATTATCACAATCATCCCTCCTTTTGAGGCTCATCATCCTCATTGACCACGCTTCAAGTTAGGTACATGCCCTCTGATACCATCTGTAACAACTTATACATTCACTTGGTATGATATTGTCCGTTTGAGACCTGAGTCTACACCATTTTATTTTTAGACTTCACCCTAAAAGGCATCACATTATTATGAGGCGGTGTTCTTTCTTATAAACTATTATTTATAATCTTTCTCAGGCAATGTGAGACTATACAACTATAATCTCACTGGTTTCTCTGAGCTTTAGGGTCATTCCCACTTTACTTTGAAAGTTCTCATTTTGCCCCTTGAATTTTAAATTTGTCCCATTTAAGTCCATTTGTAAGAATTTCTATAAAATTAGGTGGAAAAAGAGGGGGTTGTGGCCATATAGTTTTTATATGTTTGATTTTAACAGAATTTTTAAATAAAAATACCACATGACAGCATTACTCTTTTTTTTTATCTATTTTTAATAAAAATTACAACAAAATAGGTTAAGTGGGAACAATTCAAAGTTCATAGGACAATATTGTGAGAGTTTTTAAAGTTCGGAGGGTAAACGGGGATGACCCTAAAGTTTAGGAGGCTGCCGGTAATAATAATCTATGAAATAATTATAGAAAAATATAAAATGTGTTTCCAAGATAGAGAATAATTTATTCTTTCATATAAATTCAAAAAGACCATGAGAGTGCAAGAAAATGGTTAAATTAAGACATTATATGAGATTCTTTGATCAACAATATATTTAGTAGAGTTTCTTATCTTTTGAATTTGCTTGAAGCATTTTATACGAAGAATGACCATGTTTGAGTGTTTAGTAAAAATGCAAAGCACCAATGCAGTTTTAGAAATTTTACGTTAGGAATAAAATCATTTTGGTCACCGAAATTCCATTTAAATATCCATTTAACTCTGCCTCTGCCTTTACTTTTTTATACATAATAAAGCGCAGTGCTTACATTAAAAGGATAACAATTTCAACACGGGTCTCAAAAAAAAAAAAAAAATATATATATCTATATATATATATATATATAGGTTATGTGACTTATTTTGATAATCCAACTGAAAACTATATATAAAATTATGATCTAACCAATTATGTGGCTATATATGTGACGGCGGTTCAATTTGGAAACTTTAACACATAAAATATTTATCAGTGATGAATCACCTAAATACATGGTATATGTATTATTAGGTTCATGTGCTATGATGCATATATATCAACTGGAAGGTTCCTCGAAGAGTGATTACTCATATATAAAAATATATACGTATACATATACATATATATTTATGCACAATTTTAAGTCACACGTACAGTACTGAAAATGGATCAATCGTGCTTGGTGATGATCATATGGTCCTCCCGACATTCAAGGGAATAAATTTAATTGATCGAAAGGGAAAGGCGGATGTATGAAAATAACATGGTGCTGCAAACATTTAATATCCCGTCTACATTTTGCTTAATCTATAATATACCTGCCTTGCATATATATAGTGAGATGATGAGAATTTAATTCAAAAAATGACAAATGAAATTGACTTTGAGAATGATGCATGCGATAGAATTAACTTCCATGTACGTGTGTTAAATATTTTTAAACTTCACAAGATTTACTGATCGATAGACATACAATTTTACTGAATAGTACTTCGTGCATGTAATAGTGTCTATCTGTAAATAGAAAGTTTTTCTTTTTCTTTTATTCTCTAATTTTGGCGTTTTAGTCAGGTCAACTTGGGGGATCAAAAAACTCTAACATATCACTCAGGGCTATATAGATATATTCCTATTTTTCTCAGTCATACATACATATATATATATATATGTATGTATATATAGATATATTCCTATAGAACCTCTACATGAGACGGTTGCATTTTGGCCATGATTTTCACAACCTTTTCTTTTTCTTTTTCTTTTTTCTTTTTTCTTTCCCAGTTGCAATCCTAATTATCTCAGCTTGACTTATTTCACCAAAAAAGAAAAAAAAACCGGAAATACCACTTAAAATGGTAACAAATTTTATTTATGCCACACTACTTAAAAATAAACAATTACTATTCAATCAATAAAGAGAAAGCAAAAGGCCTCAATAGCATCTAATTTGAAATTTTTTAAAAATATCCCCTCAAAATGGAGCCACTTTTTATTTCTACCCCTTAACATTAACCTATATATTTATACTTTTTAGACTAGAACTAAGGTAGAATTTTTTAATAGTGTACATGTGTAAGTCAACTACTTAAAATGATATAATTTACAATTTTCTCTTTAAAATAATAGAAATTATAATAAAGTACATACATAAAATCATGGCAAATCATGTACTTTTTTCTCTTCCACAAAACCAGTCGCTGAAATGAATCACTGCCATGCCTGGTGGAATGCCATGTGATTTCTCTGATTATATATGAAGTTGCATGCATGGGATGGAAATTAATAAGCTTTACTTCTTGATTCAGCTATTTCAGTTCTCTCGATGGTAGAAAACTTCAAACTTGACCACAGGTTAAGTAAAACTGAAACTTCTTCTTTGCTTTTGTCATAGCTAGCTAGCTAGCTAGCCATAGGAGCCTAAACAAGCAGGCATAAAAGTGTGTCAGTGTGTTAGTTTGTAATAATATTATTATAGTTTAAATGAATGCCTTCCATCGTCAAATATGTATGCGGACCAATCAGACACTTATAATATTTTTTTTATTGATCGTTGTAATATGATGGCCTCGTTCATTTTGCTGATTCAAGTTTAGAATTCGAGTTTTATTATAGTGAAAAGCTCTTACAAACAATCACATCTAACTTTTTTGCTACAGTAAAAAGCTCTCACATAAAATCACATCTCAACTCGAATTAAAAACTCGAATTAGCGAATTGAACGGGCCCATCATTCACATGTTTGTATAATCAATTTGCTTTAAGGTAACATTAAATAAACATAGTTCAATATACGTCGAGTATTTACTTAAGTAAATTAAGTGCTATACGAATATATAAATGATATTACAATAGAAAATGAAAAATGTTACAAGTTTGTGATGGCCTGTATGACGTATTTAATACTTTTCTTAAATCTATTATCCATGTAAATATGTAATGCATTTCTTATCAAAAAAAAAAAAAAGTTTGTATATATAGTTTTTTAGAAAGCTTTTTTTTTTTTGCTCTCTTTAAAGGTTTGGTGATCATGACTTGATAAGGGTAGATAAGGTGAGTTGAGTTGTTAAGTGAAAATGATACGTCACATCTTAAGAACTTTGATTGTATATAATATGCAAAACAAGTCCACATTAAAGAACAAATCCAATTATCCTTTTGTGATTTTTGGTGATTAAATAGATAATAAGCTTAATGATTGGTCCAGACCTGAGCCTTAAATGTGATGGCTGACTATGTTAACGCGTGGTAATGATAACCATACCAGCCACATGAGTCTTTCAAATCTAATCAGGTCGGCAAAAAAATGATCATGATCAAGGATGATGAACCCCACATAAGATCAAACGCACCAAATCCCTCCACATGTCAACACTCCATATGAGAGACTCGATATGGCATACACATGCACTCACAGAAACAAAACGTCCACTAGCTAGGTTATATTATTGGGTGTCCCAATTGCCAAAGCCCAACATAATAATAGAAGCAGTAGAAGAAGAAGAAGACATAAAAAGAAGAAGGCAAGAAAAGAAAAAGCTTATTAGTCTTTCCTTTCCAATATCACCACCACCACCACCAAAAAAGAGAGAAAAGAGAAGGGGTTTGTAATTAGCACCACAAGACAAAACACACACACATATATATATTGGTGTATATATATATATATATATATATATATATTGAGATTAATCTCAAAGTAAGCTAGCCATTATTCTCTGGGGGGGTTATTGAGATGACAAGCGTTGAGAGAGATTTGAACTTCAAAGAGACTGAGCTGTGCCTCGGTTTGCCAGGTGGGTGTGGAATAACAGCCGAGCCAGCCGCCGCGGAGACCCCCACGAGGCCTGCGGCCACCACAGGGAAAAGAGGCTACTCTGAGACTGTTGATCTCAAGCTCAATCTTCACCGCCAGTCTGTTAAGGAAGATCTGAATGAGATTAACATAAAGAGTACTAGTGCTCCTCCCAAGGAGAAGAACCTCCTTCCCTGCACCAAAGATCCTGCTAAACCACCTGCCAAGTAAGTTAGTTACAAATTTTTATTAATTTTATAATATAATTAATCTCGTCCTTTGTTCTAATTTTTTTGTGTTTCTGTGCTTATCCCAGGAATAATATCTGTAGTTTTAATATACATGAATTTCGAAGCTGGTCTTTTTCCTATTATTCATGCTTTTGATTAAATTAGTATTTGTTTGACATTATTCCTCATGCTTTGTTTCAAAAAACTTGTGCTCCTTTTTAGTGCAAGCTGGTACATACATATAAATTAGGGTTTTTTTTTCCCTGAAAAGTTAAGTATCTTTTTTCACAATATTAATAACATGGCTAAAATATTAAGGGTTTTTTTTTTCCTCTTTGGGTTCAGGGCACAAGTTGTGGGTTGGCCACCAGTGAGATCGTATAGGAAGAACATAATGGCACAGAAAATGAGCACAAATGAGGAGAGTAGTCCTCATGAGAAAACTAGCAGCAGCAGCAACAGCGCAGGAGCGTTTGTGAAAGTGTGCATGGATGGTGCACCATATCTTCGTAAGGTTGATTTGAAGATGTACAAGAGCTACCAAGAGCTTTCTGATGCCTTGGCCAAGATGTTCAGTTCCTTTACCATGGGTAAGTTTATTTTCACTATCATATGTATATATATATTACAATCATAAAACAAGTAGTACTATTTGTTTCATAGGTTACAATTATTGTTCAAACTTTTTTGTTACAGTATTCTTTCTTATAAAATTTAAATTTCCATCCAAATTTGTCTATTTAAATAATTCATACTTTTCTGTTTAAACCTATGAATCAAATGAGTCATATATTGATCAAAAGGACCGGAACAACAAATGTTTACAAAAAAGAAAGGGGGTATGATTAGTGACATATAGGTAGAATTTTTCAGGATGTAACACTAATTTAAATAATATTTTTGTGGTGTTTTTTCATTGGTAATTTTTCCTGTTGACATTATTCTATGTGTGTACATGTTCATGAAGAATATTGGTACAGAAGGAAAACCTTTTTTTTTAAGGGATATTAAAAAAAAATAACTTTGAATTATAGGGTTATAGGTAGCAGAAAAACTGACAATAGTACAAATTTAACTAACCCCAAAAACAAACATGAGAATCTTGATGAAATTTTCCAAATCATATGCTTTGTGTACAAATTAATTATCTTATGGATCTTACCATGTGATATATTTTAGATCTTGTAGCTAAGTAAAATAAACTTTTTAGATATAATAATATATATAATCTTGGTGCGTGTGAGTCATTCTTATTAAAAATTATTGTTGTTAATTGAAGGTAACTATGGGGCCCAAGGAATGATAGACTTCATGAATGAGAGCAAGTTGATGGATCTACTGAACAGTTCTGAGTATGTGCCAACCTATGAAGATAAGGATGGAGACTGGATGCTCGTGGGCGATGTTCCATGGGAGTAAGATTCTTACTATATAATATAAATATATATATCTATATATATATATATATATAGACACACACACACACACACACACACATATTTCTTCCCTTTACAAACCCTAATTAAATAAAACAAAAATATATCAAACAGACTAGAAACATTTTATTATATCTAACAACAAATAACACGATTATATATAATTTCCCACCAAAGATACCTTTTTCCTGAAAATTTTAGTGTTCAATATATACTTCTGCTAAGTTATGTTGCATAAGAAAATAAATATCAAAAGAGATGGATGCTCGTGGGCGATGCTCCATGGGAGTAAGACTTTTTCTATATAATATATATATATATATCTATATATATATATATATATATATAGACACACACACACACACACACACACATATTTCTTCCCTTTACAAACCCTAATTAAATAAAACAAAAATATATCAAACAGACTAGAAACATTTTATTATATCTAACAACAAATAACACGATTATATATAATTTCCCACCAAAGATACCTTTTTCCTGAAAATTTTAGTGTTCAATATATACTTCTGCTAAGTTATGTTGCATAAGAAAATAAATATCAAAAGAGATAAAATTCAGATGAATAGATATTCCAATATTATCTATATTCATTAATATGTATACTTGGCCTGTATATATATTTATATTTGCAGGATGTTTGTTGATTCATGCAAGCGCTTGCGAATAATGAAAGGATCTGAAGCAATTGGACTTGGTACGTTATATCTTAACATTACATATCACATTCATCATGTTAATTTCAATTTATATATGTAATATTTCCAACTTTATATCTTAATTAGTAGCTAAAGAATTAAGTTATAATTATCCTAAAAAAAAGTAGAGATCCACTTTTTCTTCATAAATTAGAAATATTCCTTAATCATATTAATGTTACATGGTATTTGCTTTCTTTAATATTGTGAAGAAAATTTTTTTTCAACAAAAACTTCTAATAATAAGGAAAACTTGTTAAAAAATTTTCAGCTCCAAGAGCTATGGAGAAATGCAAGAACAGAAGCTGATGAAATCCAGATCACAAACTCTTTTTATGTCGTAAAGAACTCGTGCAAGGACAAATGGAGCAGGGTGCGCAGTTCTGTGGACGTGTCTGTACTATTTGATCGTATATAGATATATTGAAGATCTTGATATTTGTAATATTAATCGACAAGAAGCAATAAACTTCAGCTACTGTCTGGTTTGTTTAATTACTAATGGCTTGCTGCTGAATAATTTCACATTTTGGGTTTTTTTTTTAAATTTTTTTTTCTTTTATTGTTGTTGTCCTTGCTGTCATAGTTGTTGTGTGTTTTGTTCCTTCAATTTTATTAATGCTACTTTTTTTCCCCTCTGGAAAGATTCTTCATGTCATTTACTTTTGATGATTTTGTATATATCCAATATTATTAATTTAATGGTACACTGAAACTATTTTTGGCCGAGGTTAATGTATTAAAATTCATGACGCAAGTGATGCAAGGGAACAAGGCCATGTGAATGTTGATAGGGCTGTCATTTATGACCATTAATTAATGGCATTAGTTTATTCTAATTTATAGAAAATAATCAAACATATTATACTTATTTATAATACACACTATACATGTATATTTATATAATATAATATATGTACATATAATGAGAAATGTTAACATCACTTCTACTATAACTTTTTTTATGCATTCAATGTTTAATACGTAAACTCTATTATTTTATTTTTTATTTAAATAATAATAATATATATAGAGTTTAGGTGTCAAACAGTAAATACAGAAAATAATATAGAGAGAGATAAAAAATGTGTTACTAGCATTTCTCATCTATTAACATATCTTACTCGTGATTGTGGACTGTTATGAGTAAATGTGGCTGGAATTCTATAATGTGACATGGTATGGTAGTTAGTAGCACTTGTATGTTGGGTTGTGTGTTTTCTTATTTCTTTTTTAATTTTATTTTTTAACTATATATAATTGATTTTTATGGGATCACTCGCACATTTTGTGGGATCAATTTAATATGATTTTGCACTTCTCTATTCTAGGTTTAAGAAATCAAGTCTGTGGGCTGTCTCTCTTTTTTCCTATCATTCACACACACAGATATGTGAGTGCATATATATATATATATATATATATATTCACACACACATATATCATCGCAATAAAGATTTCTTGGATCTGACAGTTTGGCAGCCTCATGTTGTAGCTTTAATGAGAAAATAATTATAATTTTGGCATGTTATAACTAGCTCGAACAGAATTATCATAGAGGCGTGGAAAAAGTCTCCTCTAGTGTATTCCTTGATTAAGTATTAGATTAACTAAAAAAAAAAGGAGAGTGGTCTGAGTTGGGCATGCCAATATTGATTATATAGGTCATGCATGAATACAAAGTGCATGGAATCTTTACACACATGAAAGTTCTCATGCTTTTGAGTCTGCATAATTATATATATATATATCTTGTACTTTGGTTTTTCGTTTTTCATCATCAGAAAAGAATAATGAGAGCTTGTAATTTATTAACTGGATGAATCTAGCAAATTAATCTGTTACTTTGGTATTATTTCCAACATATATATCTATATATAAGTCGACAACTTATAACATGGTTCAAAGTTTAAACTAAAGGGTTTTTTGTTATTGAAGAGGTTATTATTAATTACTTTATTTGTTTTAATTTTGTTCACCCTTTTTGGGCAATCCAATATGTTTGCTTGGTTGAGAAGGGAAAATTTTGGATCGAGCCATAAACAGCTGCTAGAACGAGTGCATGTCTACACACACCTCAAAATATAATTTTTCTGTAATATAGATATATATATATATATATGTATATATTATATCATTACATGTGAATCTAATCAGTTTATTCATCTCATGAGTATATATGTAGCCAAAACCCTTCTTCACCAAAGCATTATTGTACCTTCTGAGCATCTCAGCTAAGGCAGTCACCGACTCACCAATCATTTTCAGTCCAAATTCCAAGCTCTTCTGGTTAGCCACCTCAATGATAAGGAGAAAAGGTGGAAAAACGACAGTAAACTTCAATAACGAGTCACTAGAGTCCATGGGTTGGTACCTCGAGCTTAGGGCCATCTTTCTTCTCCTCAATCTAAGTGAGAAATCACAGTATTAAAAAATAAATAAAAAATAAAAATAAAAAATCCCTGAAGAGAACAAGGTGAATTGTATTGCCCACTGTGTGATTCGGAAATTCTGTGGATGAAAAATTCTTTTATCCTCATTTATTTAACTTGTATGTCATGCTACCTAAAATTTTGGTAGCAAAAAATCAAAATTCATGTTGTGTTTGCCCCAATCTTTGATTGTATCGGCAAATTATCCATATGAATATAATAGTAAATCACTCTATGAATCTAATAAAGTTGTTGCAGAGTTCCCTACATCAGTGATTGAAAATGTTCTAATGCATGCTACAGGAAATGCTCTGATCGTTATTTAAAATTTCAATCTCTTTCCTTTAAAACAAGGTCATGCAACATATTTTAGGAGAATGCTTCCGTTTAAATTTTAATAGTTGCTATGGATACGAGAATATTCTGCTACATGTCTATTGAATTATGGAGATTCTTTGTTAAAACTAATAGGGGGTAACTTGCTAATTACAAAAAAATAAAAAAAAAATAAAAAAAAATCATGAAGAATGAATATGCCAAATATCCTTCTAATAGATTCATATTGATGATGTGCGACATGAAACTTTATTCATCTGGAAGAGAGTTGTTAAAGGCGACTCAGATAACAAGGCAATTCCAAATCTAGGCAAGGAATTTGTACAACATCAACATGCTTGATCAGTCACTTGCTGCAGCAGAAAAAATAAAATAAAATGTAAAAATTGGTTTGTGACTTTGTGAGAGTACATGACATGTTTTGGCTTACTGAAGACATAATTGCTGCCAGCTTTTTTTTTTTTTTTTTTTTTCCTTTTTTGTTTAGCATGTATTCCTCTCCATGGAACTTATATAGAATAAAAATGGAGAACTACATGGATAATATGTACAAACATATGCTGGGCTTAAAAGTGTGTAAAACATATAGGTATAAAGCCAATATAATTTGAGTAAACGGTCAAAAGGTCAGGCTTTAAAAACAGATTCTTTTGCAGCTTAACTGCATATAAAGACACATGACCGAATCTTGTGATGCCAAATCCAACATCAGCGTAAGCAACACCGTCCTTGGTGGATCCCTTGAAGCCGAACAAGAATGTGAGGTTTTACGCAACCACCTACTAATAGTGAGTCCCATGACATGAGACTTATAGATGGGACTCCCCTTCTATTAGAAGCGGTGTTTAGTAACGTGGTACCCCAATCATTTTTTAAACGAATTCAACCATAACAGTTTAATTAACAATATTCTAGAAAATGGGTCTTTTAGTACTTGTTCCTTTGCAATAAGATGTCCTTTTCTAGTGGTCATTAAGAACGTTGAAAAACTAGATAAGTCCAGTGAAAAACCTGCATGTACATTTACAAAATCGTAGTTAAAATACGTAAAAGTTGGTTAGCTGTATGCCATTTGGTAAATATTAGTTGGTTGTTTTTTTCCTGCTACAAATGGATGTCATGTGGGTTATACTTCTGCTGTGAAAAATTTTGGCTGTGCATTTATGTCTATTTGGGCTTGTGTAACCAGCCTTCCTACATGCTGCTTGTGTCTGAGGATGGTATATACAGCCCAATATAGAGTATCTAGGTCTGAAATCTAAGGCCTAGTTTGGTTTTGACTTTGAAGAGCTCAGAATTGTTGTTGGTAAAGAAAGTGCATAAAATTATTAAACTTACCCTTTTTGAGTGTACATGTATGAATCTTAATCTATTACTCTTGTAGTCTGTGACCACCCTAAAGATGAGACCGTGATTATTAGAATATAATTAAAAAAAATTAACTTAATTAAACTAGATTAATTAAGAAAAATCCATAAAAATAAAATAAAATATACAATATTAAAATAGATATTAAAATATATTACTACAGAGTCTTTCTTTTATAAACAATATTTAAACCAGTTCATAAAGTTTAAAATAATACAACTCTGAGATAGTGTCGACTAATGCAGTTTATATACATAAATAAATTACATCTCAAAATTAAAACTGTAAATCTAAAACAAACGTACCGCTTCGAATCTCGAGCTTTCAATCTATTGGTATCCAATTGCCATGCTGTAAATATAAACCGTTAATTTTGGGGGGATGCGGAAGCGTGGGGTTAGCGGATCGTGCATAACAAAAATTTTCATAAAATATTTGAGATACTCTATAGATTATATTAATTTATGCACAAATAAATTAATCACATTAATTTATTTAATAAGAACTTAATTAGGAATTATACCTGGCGGCCGATTAGGATGACAACTTGAGTTCTTTGACCACGAACAATCATTGCTCCAAAGCCTTGTGTTTAGAAAACCAATGTCTTCCACGTCAATTCCTAGAATCTACGAAGACGTGTGTGTGGGCACACCTGAGACAAAACGGGTTAGAATAAACACTCAAATTTCTACAAATACCAACGCGTGGATGATGTGGAATTTTTAGAGAAAATTTTTTCCTCTCTCTACACTAGAGAAATCCGGCCACCATCTATAATTAGGAGCAAAATATTGTGTCAAAAATTGTTTCCAAAATTGTGTCACACAATTTTCTACTATCTCCTTATTTATAGAATAGTAGTTAGACTCCTAGAAGAAGTCTCATCTTTATCTTAAACATAAAACTTCTCAATTATCTCCCATTTGAATTTGGAACAAATTCTCCCTTCCTTTCATCCACTAATGGCCGGCCATAATGGGATCCTTATCGCTGTGGTAGGCGCCAATATCAGATAGGGAAGGAAGAAAAAATAATCATTTATCATGCATTCTAGATGTGCCTTGCGTTCACACTAGGTGTTCACACTGTGCCTTGCGTTCACACTATATGAACACTTTCACATAAGTGATCCAAAATTCAAATTCAAATTTAAATAATCACATAATTTAATTTATAATTAATTCTCAATTAATTATCCTCGAGTGTTTAATTTTAGAATTCTATAATTCTAAAATTCCTATTTTGCCCTTATAGTGTCTTGTAGAATTACAAGAACGACGCGGGGACTAATTGACCTATAATCTCGAGCTCTAATAAAATTAATAATTAATTAAACACTTTAATTAATTAATTAATTATATTAATTCTAATAGTTACTCCACTATAAACTTGGAATTGTACTCTTGAAATTATAGACATAAATTACTTCTAA